AATATATATTATATTAAGTCAACAATTTTATACAAATAAAAAATAAACATCAGTGAAAAAGTAACAAAAATCAAGCAGTAAAAAATAGCACATCTCCTTAATTTGAGAAAAGGAAGCATCTAGAACCCAGTGGGGTTGCATTAGCATGCAATACTGAATATTTATAAAAAAAGAAGCCACGTCCACACAAATCCGCAACTACTACATACTCTACTTTCAGACTTTATGCCAAAAACAACAATTAAACTGCTTCCCGCTACTATTTAAGTGATTTTTGGCGAGAAAATGTGAAATGAGTTTATCACCAAATAACTTAGTGATTCTATAGTTAACAAATCGAAATTTTATATTTCTGACAACTGAAGTTTCTAAATTTCACTATAAATTTGAATTTGACAGCTGTCAAATTGATTGACGTTTACAAAATTGTTTATGATGGATATTTTTGGCATACAGTCTTGTTTTATGGTACATATGACATTTAAGTGTACTATATTATAAGGAATATCACAAGTTAGTACTACTAGACAAATCATATTATTGCGTATATTTATGGAAGAATTACCCCGAATGAGCTGCTTGTTTGTGTCGACGAGACCTCGCACTAATATTAGGTAACTTTTGGGATTTTTTTTTGGTTTCCAACATGATATGCCAACACTAAGTTAAAAAACGTGTATCATGGGACTAGATGACAGCTTGAGCTTCTCATACAAAAATAAAAAAATACATACAATATAAAAAATTTAAGAAACACACTAGTCTACAAGAATACTGTAAACACCATTTTATGAAGTAAGAAACACCTATGACCTAAATGACTACGATTTATAAAAATCTTTTCCTTTTTTTATTCAAAAAAACCGGGAATCTTTTTCTTGACACTTATAATATATAAGATATAAATCTTGATAGTCTAGAAATTGCACTGGGTTCTACTTTTTCTACAGGTATTTTCGTTTAAAGGTCTATAAAACCGTTACTTGAATGAAATTTTTAATAAATCCAGTTGATTTGCGACAAACTGGACCGCGTCTTGAATAATACAATGTAATTCGTGCAAAAATATGTTTATAATACAACTTTTTAGCAAAAATTTCCCTATTTTATAGAAAAGCTTCAGCTAGTTTGCTAAAGACAAACGCAATACACTTAAGATTATGCAAGTATCAAAAATAGAAAAGTGACTAACTATAGTTAAGACGTCGGTACAAAAAATATAAATTATACTGTTATATATGTACAAATTATTTATCATTAGAGAGATCCTAACTAATCCATAAATATGGAAGTTTCCCAAATATCGACATTCTTAAACTATTATATATATACATTTTTTTTTTATTAAACCTATTCCATTCCTTAGTTACGCTGTGATTTACTTTAAAAAGAAATAGGAACTTTAACAAACAATATCTCTACTACGATGGAACTAAAAAACTAACAAATTATGTGACAATTCTCCAGCAAGTTATTAGTTATTTTTTTCAATGCTGGACGCTTATGAAGACGCTACACAAAAATTGTACCAAATATATATAAAAAATCCGCCAACATTGCAATATTTACACAACTACGCTATCTTATAGCGTCTTCTATTCCACTGCCCTGCCTGCGTGGTGTGCACATAAAAGATGAGCGATATATCGATACCGGTTACATTTCAGATTGAAAAGTAACTTGTATTGACATATCTCCCACCTTTCGTATGCACTCAGTGCAAACCGTGCACTAGATTCGAAGACGCTAATAGTGTGGCATTGCTGCCGGCTTGTTTTGTGTTTAGTTCAAATAAAATGGATACGTTTGATATTTTAGTTTTTTTTTTAATGTTATCTGTACTATTCTTCTGCGTATGACAGATCACTTTTAGTTCATCTCGTAAAATTTATCACTTCTCATTCAATTACTTCCATTGTTGTTTGTTTTCAAATGTGTTTCGACTTCCAGGATGCATTGACAAACAAAGAAACAGTCATGTTTGCCTTTCTAGACATAGAAGGAGTTTTTGACAACACGCCACACGAATCTGTAAAAACAGCACTTGCATACAGAGGAGTAGATAACATCACATCCAGGTGGATGGCTCAGCTGTTATTTACGAGAACTGCAGATACACAGATAGGGCAGGACACCATCTCCATCTGCACAACCAGAGGCTGTCCACAAGGAGGAGTTCTATCCCCACTAATGTGGAGCCTAACCGTAGACGAACTTCTATGCATATTGACTGACCTCGGCATACCCTGTCAAGGTTATGCCGACGACATAGTCATAATTGCTAGTGGCAAGTTAAGTAATATTCTGTGTGATATAGTCCAACGAGAACTAGAACATACCAAAAGATGGTGCCGTGAAGTGGGACTTAGTATACCCTACAAAAACAACACTAGTAGCCTTTTCAAGGAAAAGAAAACTTAATCTCAAACCCGTTAAATTAGACGGGATAGATATAGAATGGAAAAATGAAGTCAAAGGCCTAACCCTGGACAACAAACTTCTCTGGAACACACATGAGAAGGAAGTAGTAAATAAAGCCACAAAAGTCCTAATGGTATGCAGAAATATTGCAGGTAAACGATGGGGATGTAACGCAAACATACTGCGATGGATGTATACTGCAATAGTGAGACCAATCATCACTTACAAAGCTATAGCCTGGAGTAACAGAACTAGTTTCGCTACTACGAGAGCTAATATCTCAAAAGTACAAAGACTAGCCTGTGTTTGTATTACTGGTGCAATGAGAACCTGTCCTACAGCCGCAATGGAGGTGATCTTAAACCTCACCCCTCTACATTTGATGATAAGAGAATGTGGCAAAAAGGACACGATATAGAATTATCAAGAACGGAGTAATCAGATGAAAGTCTACTTGCTTCAGGACTAAAGATACCTGGGACATGCCCCAGGATGAAATGCTAAAGAAGTAGTTTTGTGAAAAACTTCAAAACCACAGAGCTGGGCTACAAGAAAGAATGGAGCCAAGAATCCATCGCGCTTGCAACCGAAAGACGTGCTATTCAGTGGTATATGGATGGTTCCAAAACCATAGAAGGAACTGAAATAGGAGTGTATAGGCCGAGAACCAAGCACTCCGAAAGCTTGGGAAAATACCCAAGCATCTTCCAGGCGGAAATTCACGCCATCGAGAAGTGTATCCAGTTTATCATCGAGAGACAATATATTATCATCATGTCTGATAGTCAAGCAGCCATCAAAGCGCTAAGCTCTTACGTAATCAGCTCAAAAATGGTCTGGAGATGCCTAGAACAATTGAATGAGCTTGGGGAGAAAAATAGAGTTACTCTCACTTGGGTCCCGGGACATAACGCAGTACAGGGTAACGAGATTGCAGATAGTCTTGCAAGGAAAGGGGCCCAAACACCCTTTGTAGGACCTGAGCCGTTCTGCGGTATCAGCAGTAACTTAATAATAGGAGAGATTAAAAAAGAATTGGGCAGTAGAAGAACCGATAATTGGAACAATCTCTTGGAGCTGAGACAGGCCAAGATACTTCTGGGAGAATATAACTAGAAAAGATCGGAAGCCTGCATCTGCCTGAGCAAGAACAGGCTACATATTGTAACAAGAATCCTTACCGAGCATTGCCGACTAAAAGGACACCTAAGTAAACTGAAAGTAGTAGAGGATAGTGAGTGCAGATTCTGTGAGGACGAAACCTCCATTCACATCCTAACTGAATGTGTAGCACTCCAGAATCCAAGGGCACTATATCTAGGAGGATATCAAATAGAAGAGGGAGATTTACCTAACTTGAAGCCACTTCAAATCCTACACTTCCTTGAGAAAATAAGTTTGGAAAGGTCGTTATAGGTATTGAGACATTTCCTTAGTGCATTGGCGACAGAAGGGGGCACAATAGATATTTTAGTTTGCAGTGTATTAACACCCCATTCTCCACATAACATAATTATTATTTTATTTAAATTTGAATGTTACCATCATATCAAGAAGTTGGTGTAATATTTTTTTGAAACTCTTTTTCATTTTCTCAAATCCTGTCATTTCAAACTAATATATATGCTTCGAAATTACTTAACTTTTTTAGCATACTATGTGGCAATGGACTTCTTGACAGGCTTGTTGTCATAAGGAAGGGCTATTGTAAGAACATGCTTTCATATAAGCTCGAAGGATCAAGCATTGAAAATACTTTTAGAATCTTTAGAAACTTTAAATTCTAAATTCTACTCTGAAGCGAGTCATATTTAGAGCCCTTTTTACGTGAAAATAGTAGCAAATATGACATATAGTGTTAATAATTAACGTCATATTTGTTAGTTGACCATAATATATGTTACAATTTTTGTCAGATGATTAATTATTTTTAGATTAGAATGTAAAGAATTTAAGTTTAAATGTGAGACCATCTTAGTTAAAAAATAAAATAAAATTCTTCCACGATATTGTTTTAGAAAATAGTCACATAAATTTGATATTTTCGGTTCTTCTCAATTTCTACTTCGACAACAAAATGTTTTACATTTTGCAACTACACTTAAAAAACGTAGGAAAATATTGCACGGTACACTGAGAAAACAAACAGTGTATTACTCCACAGACAAAAAGACCGTAATATGGGTTTAGTGATAGTACTAGTCGTATATCGTCAACATCATTTTTTTTTATCAAGTATTTAAACCCATTTTAATAAAAATTCAAGTAAAGATTCTATTAGAAATAGGATTTATGTATACTAATTTATCACACCACATTTATAAAAATACCGTAAGTAGAAAAAGTAGAAATAAACTCGAGAACAGTTTGAGGTTTTTTGGTAGATTGAAAGTACTGTTTAGAGTTACTACCATGTTATAATTGAAACATAGTAATAACGTCTATAGTACTGATAATTCTGTAGTGGTCACTTAAAAAGCATCTGAAATACTCTTGATTGTAAATTTCCATCAACCTTAAACTCCCCTCAAGCGTGCAAAACTATCAGATACAAGTAGTTCCCTTGCCTATGAAGGTCCTCAGTTTGCTACGAGCAAATGCTGATACTGGCCAGCGCTGGGGTACGGCCAGTTGTTGTCTATTAGCTTCCCATTGTCCTGCGGTGTAGTAGGGGCGGACGTTGGCGCTCCTACGGGCCCGTTGTTGGGATAATAAGGTCCCAGGGGCGGCGAATGCTCGAAGGGCAGCTTCCCGGAATAGACGTCGGGACTAAGGAATTGGTTGGAAGACTCGAAAACGGAACGCGGCGGGAACTGGGGCGGGTAGTGGCCGTGAGGGAAATAATATGTCGAGGGATCTGGGGAAAGTGCACGGCCCGCCGGGGAGTGATGCGGCGGTTGTTGGTGGAGCTGTTGCTGCATTGCTCGTTGCTTGATGTAGTTGGAGAATTCGGTTGGAGACATTCTGAAATAAATAATAAACGTTTATAAGGTAATTAGCTACAGTAATATTTATGTCAGAACCAAGTAAATACAGTGAACATATTTAGTACAATTAATTTTATAATGGAAATAACCTATTACTTTAGATTAAAAAGACCGGAGACGTAACATTGCACACAGCGCATGTTGTCTATTCCAACCTTAAGTAACCCACCAATTAAAAATCATTTTTTTCACGACGCCACCCGAATAGCTCCGATATTTCTATTCTACACTCATCTCCGCGTGAGTGAATCGTCATGGACCGCCGTTTTTAGATTTATTCGTTGGTGTAATTAGCAATTTAAATTGTTATAGTTATTCAATTTCAAGTTAAAAATGCCACGATGTATCGTGAAAAATTCTATATACAAATAAGTGCCAATGTTATGAAAAATAAAAAATATATTCGCTTTCGGCGGTAAATATTTATTAACGTTTTGACATAAAGCCGCCATGATCCTTTGAGCTGAATACTTCAGATCCACATTAAGGGGTTTGAATAAATATTAGGCATCAAATACATATTTCAGAAAACAGATTTCATAATACATAAATTTACAAAAGGGCAAAGTCTTGAACATTTAATTTAAATAAGAAGTAAATAGGCATTGTTGCTAACGAAATTTTGTTTTAAAAACGTAGTTTATAAGAATATTTACTTAAGGTGGTTTTTAGCCCTTTTTGGTAGATAAATCAGAAGTAAAGAAACATAGTTGCTAGCGAAATTTTATTTTTATAAGGTATTTTTATAAGAATATTAGATGAAATACAGGACGACCTACTTAAAATTTCAAGGTTCATATTATTTGCGGTCAAATCGGAAATTACATTTGAATCTTAAGTCTTTAAACAAAGTAAAACGTACTAGTATAAGCAAAAAAATTCCAAAGTTACGGGAGTTAGTCACATTGTTAATAAAATGTTACATTATAAACCCCGAAACAACTGGAAAATCTTCGTTTACTAAAAAAATCTAAATTCTAGCAATATTTATTATCTATTATACAATCAAATGCGGTTTCAAAGATAACGGGATCAAAAAATTCAAATCTATAAATGCTCGGATAAAAGCAAGCGACCGATAGGGGTTACAAAAATAATCGATTTATCGATTATTCTGTTATTTTTTTATAAAAATCGATTTATCCGTTATTTTCAATGAATTATTTTCGTTTTTTTAAGATAATGTAATAATCGATTTTAAAGGAAATACAAGAAGAAAGACTTTTTAAATTAATCGATTATTTTCGATTTTTCAAAAGTATTCGAATAATAATTTGTTTTAAAGAAAATACGAAAAAAATAGATTATATGAAAATAATCGACTTACCGAATATAATCGGTTATTTTAAATAATCGATATTTCGGTTATTTTTTTAGAATTATCGATTTATCGATTAATTAGCTTTTTAATAATCGATTATATTCGATTTATTAATTATTTTATATTTTTCAAATCGAATAATCAATTTTAAAGGAAATATGAAAAAAAAAAGATTATTTGAAAATAATCGATAATTCGGTTATTTTTTTGGAAAATCGATTTATCTTAGAATCGGCTTCTTAATTAATTGGTTATTTTCGATTAATCGATTATTTTTGATTAAGCGATTATTTTTTATTAAGCGATTATTTTCGAATAATCGATTATTTTCAATTTTTCAAAGATAATCGATTATTTTCAATTTTTCAAAGGTAATCGAATAATCGATTGATTGAAAATAATAGATAATTTGAAATAATTGATAATTCGGTTTTTTTGAAAAATCGTTTTATCAGTTAATCGACTTTTTAATTTATCGATTATTTTTGATTAATCGATTATTTTCGATTTTTCAAAGATTATCGAATAATGGACATATGAAAAAAAAAACGATTATTTGAAAATAATCGAATATTTCAAATAAGCGATAATTTGTTTATTATTTTTGTAAACACTGATTTATCGGTTAATTGGCTTTTTAATTAGTCGATTATTTTTGATTTTTCAGAGATAATCAAGTAGTCGATTTTTAAGGAAATACGAAAAAAAAAAATAGATTGTTTGAAAATGATCGATTATTTTCAATGATCAATAATTTATTTCGATAATCATCCACCCCTAGCAACCAAATGACTTTTAATAGGTTTAAATTTTAAAATGTTATCTGGTTTCAGACATATGCATTTCTAGAGTTTTATGTGACTCATCATCTATATTAATTAATATTCCTAAATAAAGAAGCTTTAATTTGCCTTTTTTCTGAGGTTACAATAAAAAACAGCATTTTTTGCTCGATTAACAATATTATTTTTCAACATTTTACTGTAGTCTCTTGCAGAAAATTCTGTAGTAAATAAACGCTAACGAAATATTCCATAAAAGGTACTCTCTTTACATAAAATGTCGTGGCATCTATTTGACATTAAAAAATCACTTTAATTTTATTTCATAATATAAAATTTCATTAAACATCTTTTAAGTAAATCTAATAATTCATTATGATGCTAATAAACAAAGTCAGTCCCTGTCACAGAGTTCGGGTCTCCACCCAGTTCCCACACTCCTTTAACCTTTCTTTAGAAATTGGCAACATTTGTGCAGGTTAAACACCGGTGTATGTTATATCTCTGGTCTCTTTTATCTAAGCCTATTGCATTAGTTTTGGGAAAAAGTTTAAAGTCGATTTTGTGTTTCTATGGAATCGTTATTGGCACATATAATATACGAATACAAATAGTCCTTAGGCTCATTAATCTTCTATGCCAAGAAGTATTTGCCTGACTGGTTGCGGTAGAGCATGCGAGCACTGTGCGACCAGGTCGTCGTGACCAGGACTTATTTACGACAGTGATCGTCATCCAATATCAAGCGACAAATTTTCTAGTTTCAAAATAGAGCAAATCGCAGCTTTCTTATATTTATTAGTTGTAGGTGCGTTACCTCTCACCTAACACGATGTATCTTGTTGGTCGCGGCATTTTAATGACCGTTTGTATGTTTCGCAGATTTTCGAGGCCCGACGCGACGCGACCTGGTCGCCCAGTGTGCGCACGACCTTATCATTTTTTGGACGGTAGGCAGAGATGGCAAGTCTAAATATTGTAATTGTGTCAAATTCTTTGAATAGTTCGATATATTGAAGTTTTAGAGATGTTGTGCTCCCTAAAGACATTAATAATTTATCTTTTTGGCAACTATCCTACCATTAAGAATGGGACACAGAACAACTGAAGATTCTCTGATTAAAAATAGGACTATTAATCAAAACATGTTTCAATAAAATATTACTCGTTTCCGATATACGGTGTGTTAAGTTAAAAATTAAAATAGTAGTTTGTGCAACAAGATTGGATATGATGGTCATATTGCACGAAGACGAAAAAATATTTTAGGTTATTAAGACAAAGAAACTAATTTTAAAATAATTTATGACTTTTAATGATTTTTAAAATGAAATAAAAGAAAAAAATCCTTTCATTTTTCCCCATCCGTAAATCGAACTGGAGTCTTTAGTGTGGAAGGCAAGAACGCTAACCACAGGACCACCTATACTTTTATTTTTGTTGCTTTAAAACTCGTAATTAAATTGAATTCATAGAGTTTTATTTAAATTAACAAATTATTTATATTTATAGACAAAATAAAAACAGAAATGCTATTATTTATCGATTTTACACAAGAATAACCCATTTTAATGTATGTTTAATCTCAATAACTAAAAAATATACTGACAATTAGTTTGACAGAATTGTCACTTATCTAAAATTTTAAAAATACTATCAGTCAGTTGATCAAAATATGAACGGTGATTGGTGGATTTCATTTTTTTGCAGTGTTTTCACTATTTAGAATGAATATGAAATATATTCGTTCAGTTGAAAGCAATAGCATACTTTTTCGTTTTGAATATCCATGTGGGTGTAGAAAAAATTAATAACGGCTATAATTTCTCAATATAATTTTACTAAATTCGGCAAACATTTTTTGTCTCTTAAGATACAACTATCAGCGAAAAAAATCAGTTAAATAAACTTAGCCAGTGGCGTACGGCATAAATAAGTAATACGTTCATCTCTCTAAATTTAACGCCACTGTCCAAAACCTTATTTAAACTATAATTTTAAATGTGATTGTTTTTTGAGGTAGTCACTCAAATATGGACATTCTTTTTTTTTAATTTTGTAATTTTGAATTTTTTTATAAATTTCCAACAAGAGTACATTATTTATTTAAAAACACATTAAAAAATTCAAAATTATAGTCCAAATAAGTTTTTGGAGAAGGGCATAAAATTTAAAAGAGTTGGCAAAGTTTATTTAAATTAATTTTTTGCTACTAGGTGTATCTTATGACACCAAAAACGTTTGCTCAGTATAATTTTATAAACAAATCCAAAATTAAAAATAAATTAAAATTAAGTTGAGTGTGAATATCTCGAAAAGCAATCGCTCTATGAGTTCCCAACAAGAGTATATGAATTATTTAAAATCAAAAAATGTAAAAGCATAGTTCAAATAAGTTTTTGGACGGTGGCGTAAAATTTAGAGAGGATGAAAATGTTACTTATCCATGCCGTTCGCCTCTGACAAAGTTTATTTGACTGATTATTTTGTTATTAGGTGTATCTTATGACACTAAAAATGTTTACTGACTTTAGTACAATTAATTATATAGAGAAATATAAAAATTATAGCCATTAATAATGTTTGAAGTTTTAACTGTAACACCCTGCAATTCGGAAACTATCAATATTTTATCTAAATATGTTCCGTTTAATCGTTTTATTTTTAATCAGAAAATCTTTAGTTGTTTTGTGTCCGATTTTTAATGATACACCCTATATAGTCTTTAGAATATTCATTTTGGACTGTAGTTTGTACACACGCCGTTCTGACGAAAATGTGAAATAGATATAATCCCTAGCAATATGTTGGAGCATAGATGACTTGACTTGGTAGGTTTAAAATAAGGTTACGATGTCATTGGAAGTGGCTAAAGTACCAATCTAAATTTAATGTTGTTACAACTTTATTGTTAATAAATATTTGTAATGAAAGTTGTGCCAGTTAAAACTTTTTGATGCTCTGTATAATGAACAAATAATTTTTTAAATCGTTTGAAAAATACGCATTTTATACAGGTGTTCTCAATACAAGCGGACACACTGTACCAACGATTTCGTTAATAACTTACTTTTCAGCCTGATTCGGATAAAAAATATGTTAATTCAAATATTTGCACAGAAGTATGTAGTTAAAAAACGAATTTGGGCAAATCTCCGACATTTGTAGTATGTAGAGTCACTTTTAAATTGATCTGAAATAGCTTATTAATATTGGCATCCCTAATTTGAAAGGCTTTGTCGTACAGAACTCAATTTTCTTAAAACTAACCTTTTCATTACTTGTCACCACTTCGCTTCTAAACCTTCAATTGAAAAATCACATTAAAAATTATTGTCAACAACATTGTTATCTTACGGTACCCCCGCACGGTATTAACCCGTCTTCATCAACTTTGACAGAAATAACTTGGGACTTACCTATTGGCTCGTTTGCTGCTAGTCTTTAACTTAGTGCTACCGAACTTGGTTTGAGCAAAGGTTGCCGTAGTAAAGGTCAGGGGAGTGGTGGTTCTGGGTATGAAAGCGGGCACAGGCGAGGGCGATCCTTTGTAAGATGTATTCAGAGTGGGCGAGGGCGCCAGTGATGGTGACGGCAAGTGGTTGATGTTGTTAGGTGGCGCCTGTGTGCTGCCGCCGTTGTGTTGTGAAATCGGAACCTGCTGGTGGAGTTGCGATCCTACCGCCGGATTTGGTTGTTGGTTGTTTTGCGGAAATGGCGTCAGGTTCTTCGGAGATAAGCTCAAGTTGTTCATCGTGGACGTAACGCATTCAATCGGCCTGAAACACTGGGCTTCGGGGTTGAAGGTCTTGGTGACTTCTCTGTCGGCGGAGTGCTCGTCTTGAGGATCGACTTTATCACTGAAGAGGATTTTTACGGCGCCTTTTTCGCCGATACGGTAACTCACCTAAAGAAAAATCAGAATAAATGGCAACGTTAAAAAATTAGAGTGGTACTTAACACCTCAATAATGTATTTTCAGATTCTAATTGAAAATAATGCGATTTTATTTATATATCTAATCAGAATTGCATTCAAATACCATTCAAAGAAAATTATTTCCAAATTAAATAAACCCTTATATTTTGTTAAATATATAGAAAAATGTTATAAAAAGTTCAAAGGAAGAGCGATTAGATTTGAAAGGAGTTGGACATTATTTGTCCTTGCCCACCACGACGTTTTCAGATCTATTGTGGGACTTTTTAGAGTATGTAGCTTTGACAGTGGCTCCCGCATGTAGTTGCATGCGTCTGGCTTTTCTTCGCTTAATGTTAGAAACCTCGATCTACCCAGGCCTTCACAATGGCACAGGACGTGGACTTATGTGTCCTTTTCTTCTTCACAGAACCTGTACAATGTTGCTTCTTCTGCTGAATTGAAGACACTCAAGTGCTTTCTTAATGTCCGGTAAGAAGAACTACTGTTATCCTAATGATTTTACGTTTTGATCCAGTAGGTCTTTCGTGAACTTGGCCGATAGTTCCTTGAAGAACTGTTCGGCGTGTCACAATCTTGGATAGTTGGATATCCTGCAAGAAGATAACTAGAGTCTCTCCAGAACTTCAGAACCGTAATTTTTTAGACAGGCAACTCTAAACGCGTAAAGAACGTAGACTTGAGGTGATCTGATAGAAACTGGACTAGTGGGAATTACTCTTGTAAAAATAGTTCTAATGCTTACCAGAATGGAACACAGAGGACATTCCAATAAAATAGAAAAGTAAAATGCAATCCCAACATTTTTAGAAGAATCAAATGTTATTTGTTTTATTAGGATTTTGTAAAGGTATAAAAATTAATAATTATTTTATCACAGTTATTTTTTTTGCTAATAGGACTGCAGGATAAATTGATTTTATTACTTGGTCTTAAAGATTCCTTAAAATCAGTGAAAGAGAAAAATGGTTAATATATTATTACTAATTTTTATATTTTTAATGACTTGTTCGTAGAGTAAATAAGAAGGTCAAGAGTGAGGTTAGATTATGCCCGTCTGATTGGTCTTATGAATGTTTTATTGGGGTTTTCGTTTTCACTATTGTTTTATGAAACGTTTTAAAAAGTGTAGCAGGAGCTTTTTAAAACTGGAAAGTCCTAAAAAGTATTTTTTTGCTACATTAATTTTATAAGCTAATCTACGTTTTTAAGTACAGATAGAACACAATGAGGAAATCCTCCATTTTAAATATGGCAGTGGCTGTTTAACCACACTTCATGTAAAATAGTAACTGTCTACCAGACTTGAACACAATGGATATTCAAATAACCTACTTTTGAATATTCAAATAAATTATAATCAAAGTTCAAATAATTCTAAAATCTTTCGAATTTAGTAATGACGTAATTTGTGTACCAAAGACAGTGATAGTGTGTCAATGACAACAGTGTGGCAATGACAGTAGATTTATTATTTATTATTGTGTTTACTCCGTTTAACCACATAATGTTAAATTTGTCAAATATATTTACAGCTAATTTCTTTTAGGGTATATAAATGTAATTTATGTTGAAACATGCTATAATATAATGTTATGCAACGCTTGCCTCGCCTGATTAAACGCAAAATTTATTTCTGGTAATCCAGTAGGTATGCGCAATTGAAAATGGTTTTCTGACAATGACAAGTATACCTGCAAAGACAAATCTAAAATAAGATTTATATTGGCGGTTAAATAGTCACTCCCATGAAATAATTTGAAAAATACAAAATGTGATATTTTATATCAAAAACATATCGAAGACAAATGTAATCATTTTTAATGCTATATATACGATATTTACAATGTTATTTTCTATTAAATAACTTTCGGTAAATAGAATAGAATCGGTATATTAATCCTTTTTACATATATATAATTTGTTACCACCCACCTTGCCCACTTTTAACAGTACTTTGGTATGTGTTTGAAAATTGATGAAATAACAAGTGTAACCAAACAAATTAAACATACACTACCTATATAATAAATAATTTCTAATATGGCAGTCTTCCCAACATGTTTGTTAAATCATTCTGACTATAACATAGCTAGTGCGTGTGCGGGCCCCCTAAACTATGCAACCACCATCACACATGGAAGGCGGGTCACCGTGCAAGCGCGAACAGTGTGAGGGTTGAAGTTTGAACAAACAAGTCACGTTGTAGGAAGAAGGTTAATAAAAATATAAGTTCTGTTAAATAAAAGTTTAAGAATACCAGTTAATACTTATTATACTGACAGAGAGTATGATAAAACAGAATAAAGAAAAAACAAGTTTAATTTTCTTAAAACTGATTAGTTTTGTAAAGTTTTTATGCCTATCCCACTTATTATCATAATCTTAAAAAAGATTTAAAATGGTTTAATAAAATTCCTAATATACTCTTACAGACATTGACTTAGGTTTAATTAGTTTCAAGATATTGTTCTAAAAATACTCCTAAGAACCGTTATAGGATTCTCCCTTTTACTCCTAAAGCAGATTTATAGTAGTCCCAAGGCTATCTCGCGGATTCAAAAGTTTTATTAGTGTCCTGAAAAAGGGTTTTTTTTTATGGTTATCTTGTATACTTTGATAAATCTAGAAATGTTACTTGGGATAAGCTCCAAAGAAGAAACTATATAAGCAACCGAGTGGTATACATTTGAAACAACATTCAAGAGGATACTATCTCATCAAGATCAGTTTAAGAATTGACTGGATGAAGAATTGAAAATGCAAACGGATCTTTAAAATATATTAGAGAACTATCTTAAAGAAATCTGTTTAAATAATGATAGAAGGCCGTTAAATATAAAGGAATTGTTACAGAATAGACCCCTTTTTCTGTTAAATTTCAATTTCTAGAAAATCTGTATTTGCTATGTTATTTGGCAATAATTTTTTAAGAAATTTACATATTTTTATTCTATATATTGTCTTATAGTACAAGAAAAAACAAGAGCATATTACCAATATCAATAGGCCCGAATGTTAACTTTGAGGTGGATTGTTAAACATATAACGAACAAGTTGTGTAAAAAATCGAGTAAAAATTACAGTCCATTTTTTAGCATTAAAAATAACTTTACTGAAATGAAAACAGGACGTAACTAAGTCTACATATTGTTAAATATAAAGACATATTCAATCAAAAAATCATATTAACCTATACATGAATTATTAAATCCAATTTAATATTTTGTAACGATTGTTTAATTTAAAAATTGTTTATTTATTAAAAACAGTTTATTTATAATTTATTTATAACGTACTAATTAATTTATTTAATAATTAGGCACTATTATAACTCACAATTCTAATTTATTTTTACTATACAACACTTATATTGAATCTTTCCGACTACCGACAAAGTCAATCTAGAACTTCTGGAAATTATCCTCCGCGCGTCAGAGTGCGATAGAAACCATTAGAGTCGATTTCTAGAATCTCGAGGCGGGTCTCGATATGGCTAGCGCTAGACTTCATAACGCGGGTACGGTAGTAAACAAAGAACAAAGATGGCTTCAGTTGCAATTTGAAGACTAATTAATGTATATCGCCGCTCTGAGATAAGCCCAAAAGTCTGTTGCTAAAAGTTTATGCTGGGGAAAATTTGAGACGGTTCTTTGAGTAAATATGAGACATATCATAGGGTACAAAAGAATCACAAATAAATATTTTTTATATTAGGTTCTAGCAAGCCACAATGTCTAAAAATTACCTTCCAAGGGCAAAACCCTACACCGACGATGTTCTGAAAATTGCACTTACTATTTTGACTAGGAGATATTATTATCTTGTATTCAATTTATTTTGTTTTTATTTTGAATTTTTATTATTTGTGAATTGGAATTTGAGTTTGTTTTAACTGTTTTTTTTACATGCGTTTTTTTTTCTATTAAACATTTGCGTATGGAGTTAAAATGGTTCACAAAACGTATTGTGATGTTCCAATTTTTGTTGATTTTTTAAAATAACTTTGAGAAAAATCGTAAACAGGTTTGTTTCATTTTGTCCCAGAATACAGACATAACCATAAATGCCTAAAATTGTCATATCTAAATTTTATATTGTTTAATAAAATGGTAGTTAAAAATGAGACACTAGTTTTATTTTTTCTCAATATAAAAAAAGATTTCCTTGGATTTTTTTTCATTTTTATGTTTAACATAGTATGGCTATTTTTTGAAAATTTATTTTAAAATAGAACCCGTTCAAATGTCTCATTTTTACACCGCTTATTGTCCCTATAGTTCAACTCACTTCACCGGGATCAACCCAAACGGCCAACTCTTGGGGAAGATTTTCGAGGATATCCTGGATGGGTACTCCGCTCTCTTTGGCCGCCCTCTCAAGCACTTTGTCAATGGGGTCACCTGTCTTCAGACATCTGAAGGCCGATCCTTTAAACGGTTTCTCTGGATACCAGTGGCCTTGAAATTTTTCTTTTAAGGCTTTTTCTAACTCTTCGCCGAATATGTTGACTCGCCGTCTTGGTAGTTTGTTGTACAGGTACGAAATTACGAAATTCAGGGCTACTTGGACTTCAATATGCATTCTGGAGATGTGACTGCAATTAAAAAAAAAAAGAATTAATTACAAAAAATATCCATTAAAGATAACAGGTAATATGTGTTTATCATGTGTGTCGTTAATTTATTTATTTTGTTTGAGAAGTGGCAATATATTATAAATTAAATACCGATGCTGAATAGAGGTATTTGAAGATTTGATAACGAGCTTGAACGTCGTCGGTCCGAAGTAGCACATCAAATTTATGTCTGGGAATCTCGACCGTCAATGTCGTTGATGTTGTAGAGGTAGGAGTATTTGTCTAGAGCAGTGGTCGCCAACCTCTCAATGTGTTGAGCTACTTTGTTAATTTTGGAATAAACAGCGAGCTACCCACACGGAAGCCACGTAACGGAACGTAAATGAAATAATCCACAGTTAAATTATCATTATATGTATTAATTTTACTATTTAACTGGTAATACATAATACATAGGTACTAATAATAATATACTAATAACAAAATAACTAATATTACTAGTACGTACTTGTTCATAGCTATATTCCTACCTACCAAACGAAGGTGTTTGAAAAATAAACACAAACTTTTATCCAGCCACAACGGCATGTCACGTAAGATTTAAAAATAGTTATTAATAACAACCAAAAAGTAACGCACTATCATGAACATAAACATTGAAAAATAAAAAAGCACGTTCAATGAGAAGGTTGACACTCAGACTCATCGATAATTTTTTTAATGTTTGCAGTATAATTTGATACAGCCATTCGAATACAATTATCCAAATGTAAGTCGATTGCGATATTTGTTCTTAATAAACTTCATATTGGAAAAAGAAGATTCACACAAATAGGTTGAACTGAATGCTTTCACTTTCAAGGCAACACGGCATAGAACTGAATATTTGTCTTTACTTACAATAGGCCAGATACATTTGGTACTTGAGACTAACGATTTTAAGGCTAAATCATTTTGAAACTCAATTACTTCCATTTCTGTTGCAGCGATGTCTTCGCCAAAGTTCTGCATAACACAAGTTGCAAACTGTTGGATATCAATTTCCATAAAGGGTGAAACAACAAACTGCGCTACTAAAGCCATTTCGTTGAAATCCTTAAAACGATTTTTGAAGTTATTCTTCAGGGTAGAAACTATTTCTGCATGATATTTGCTGTCATAGGGTTCTAATGGATTTTGAGATATTTTTTCAGAAAGAATAGGAAAATGCTTGGCATCGCTGTTAATTAGGTTTTGTTCCCAAAACTCCAGCTTTTTGATAAATGCTTTTATATCAGAAATCAATTCCGCTAGTTATTTGTCTTTCCCCTGAAGCTGCAAATTAAGTTCGTTTAATTTCTCTGTAATGTCCACGAGAAAACCAAAATCTCTAAACCAGATTGAATTTTCTAGTTCCGGAGTCGGTTTATCGCGTTGTTTGAAAAATTGAACTATGCCAGATAGGACATCATTAAAACGTTTCAGCACCCGTCCTCTACTTAACCATCGGACTTCAGAGTGAAGGAGTAGGTCCCCGTATTGACAGTCAACTTCATCGGCCAAGGTTTTGAATAATCTTCTTTGTAACGCTTGAGCTCTAATCTTGTTCACAATTTTTACCACCAGTTTCATAACGTTGTTTAGTTTCAGGAGATTTCCACATAATGCTTGCTGATGGATAATGCAGTGGCAACAGATAAATTGCGGAAAAGTTTCATCTTTACGACATAATGCCACCAGACCCTTATCACAACCCACCATAGCTGGAGCGCCATCGGTTGTCAAGCCTACTATTTTTGATATTGGAATTTTCTCGGAAGAAATAATATTTTTTAAATGAGAAAACAACTCCTGTCCAGTAGTGTGTCCTTTCAGTGGAATAAACTTCAAAAGATCTTCTTTAATCGTAAAATCACTAAAAACCATCCTGACGAACACAGCCATCTGGGCAGTGTCAATGACATCTGTTGATTCATCCAGTTGAAGTGATAAATAAACACAGTTTTCTAAGTCAGTTCTTAACTGTAAAAAATATCATTGCTCATTACTTCTACACGTCTCATCACTGTATTAGCAGATAGTTGCATAGATTTTATAGCTGAAACTATCTCGTCTTTATTTCTAAAGTTGGCAAATAACGAATCAGCAGCTTCTAAAAACGCCTGTTTTATCATTTCCCCGTCTTCATAAGGTTTCTTTTTTTGTGCAATTATCTGGGACACACGGTACGATGCTTCAGTTGCAGCCTTATTTTTGTCGACTGTTCTTAAAAATATTGATTGTTGTCCAATTAACTGCTTTTTTAACTGTTTCAGTTTCTCCTTTCTGGCGGCAGAATATAGTGGGAATGATTTTTCAAAATTAGAATGTACAGTTTTATGATGTCTCTCAATATTTCCTTTTTTAGCAACGGAGACCGAAGTATTACATAACATACACACATTTTGATCTTTAACTTCTGTAAAAAAGTATTGTTCTTCCCATTCCGAATGAAAGTGGTATGTCTTTACCTTCTTACAACTGCTTGCCATAATATTATTTTTTGTTGTTCTCTACTAACCCAACCGCTGGACGTTGGTTACGCGTTCAGTTTTGAACTAAGCGCAATGTCGCCGCGCCGTGCGTATTTATCCCATTCAAAGCAATCCTGATCGTTCTCGAACACTAACGCGGTGGTCCGGCTGGTCGGTTCTAGCAGATTCTAGCTTGATGGTGTCAGCGGCAGATCGCTCACCGCAACGTTGCCGCTGTTTATGTTTAATATTATGAAAATTAGATTTTTTTGTGGAATTTTCGGAAGCTTCTCTGATTTTTGCAGTTTGTATTTTTTAAATCAAAATCGTTGCGAGAGCTACCAGAATTGCCTCCGCGAGCTACCGGTAGCTCGCGATCGACAGGTTGGCGACCACTGGTCTAGAGAACAAGGATGTCTGGGTTGGAATTCCAGCGAAGACAGGCTTTTTTTCAAATCTCCAGGTATCTGTTTTTACCTTTGAGGTTCGGGGATAATTTTATTAATAAAAAAAAATGTTTATTGTCCAACAGGAAAAAACCCAATTACAGGACAAACTACAATTTTTTAATATTTGACCTAATTAGCCTAACTTAACCTAATAATAATTAATAATTATATAAATATTATTGATACTAACAAAAATAACCGTAATTTTATTTATTATTTTATTATTTTTATTGATTTTATTGAGTACCTTATTCTCATCTAACCTTTGTTGTAATTTATATTTTAAATGAATAATGCATAAATTATTACATTATAATAAATTGGCATAATAACAACAACAATAAATAATGATAATAACAGTAATAATAAGAACACTGTTTTTTTTTTGGTGTGTCATCGGCTTCAACTACCAGGTTACTTCGCCTCGTGTTATGTGTAGGCTTTGTTACTGTTTCCCAGCGCCACTTTAGGAACAGCACTGTTAATTAGAACCCAACAGTGAATGGTCGAGTGGGTAATCCTACCAAGGCATCAGAATTAATTTTAAATAATTAAATTAAATGAAAAAATCCCGGCCAACGGTGCGATTCGAACCCGGGACCCTTGGATCCACAGGCAGAAACTCTACCACTGAGCCACCCACCCCGTCAACAACACTGTTACATTTATTATTGTCGTTGATACAAATTTTGGTAAATATTTCTTTTGAATGATGCTAAAGAATCAAAGTAAATGTCATTCAGAGTACAAATTCATTACAATTTGAGCAAACTGTATAAATTATTATAAATTGATAAAAATGATAGTTCTTGCAGTCAGGAGATAAAAGGTGACCTTCTTTCAATACGTGGGTTATCAAAATTTAGGTAGTTTAACAATTCTGAGCAGTTTAGTTTAAAATCTTCAAACTCTTCATTTTTTATGTATGTTTAGCGATAATGCTTTACCATCTTGTCCGATTTCTACAATTCTTTTCTTCTTAGTAAGGGGATACCTCAACTACCACTAGTGCAGTATTATTAATAGAATATTGGAACATTGTATTGTTGATTTTTAAAGAAAAGCAAACTAATTTGCATTTTTCAATATTAAGTGGTAATTTGTTCTCAGTCACCATTGGTGCAAAATATCTAGATCATTCTGCAATATCAAGCAATCGGCTAGTGAATTGATGGTTCTAAAAATCTCTAGATACAAGAGGTAACACTATCAACAAGATTGTAAAAACAAAAATGACATAAGTGCATTAGGAACATGTCATTAAATTCTTGTTTTTAAACCAGAAATAGCACCAGAAATGGTGCTTGTACCACTATACGTCTGTGAATGAATCACTGGATGGCAGAAGTTGAGCTTATTACTTACAAAATTAATTTAGTAATATTTCTTTCTGCTTTTTTATTGTGCATAGTTAATATAATCGGAGGACAAGGAGGCGCCAAAGGTGTCCCCCTGTCCCCTATACACAACGCCACTATAGTAGGCAAATCTAACAATTAAAATAGGTGGTATTTAATTAAAAAAATGTTTCCAATTGCCCGACAAAAGCGCAACACCGTGTATACCCAAAAATATTTTTAAAGAATGCCTTTTTAAAATTTCTAAAAAACCTTTATCGGGACCGTGTTTGTGTTTCAATAACCCACATTGAAATATGGTGGAAATAGCGCACTAAATCGACACCCGGTATACTAATTAGATACTACTACTCAATTAGCCTAATTTACAAAGTATCTTCCTTTAAAGTTACCCACATGTAAATCTATAAAAATAGATACATCATTATAATGAATGGCCAATATAGTTGGCAATATTTTAATCTTAATAAACTGACGATTTCATAAATGTTTTCCAGAAAAATATTAACGAATATTTTTCTTGTTAATGATTGAGGAAACATAACCTCATTTGTTTGAATTTTACCTAATCACAGTAACTATTCAAAGTGGTGATGGGAAAAAGCGTTATTTTCATTTAACAGTTACAACTGTTACTGTTATTTTTAAATAACAGCTTAAAATAACAGGTGTCGTTATTTTTAACATCTAGTGGTTGAACTAGCAA